TCTAGGCAGCTCTTTTTTTTTTTTTTTTACAATGGAAACAAATTATATCCTCAATTGTAACAAATTATATCCATTTAATGGATAATTTCCATGAAAATAAAGTCAAACGAACACCAAAAGATTCAAAATTTCAATATTTTTCGGGTGAAAAATTATACCAATCAAATACAATTAATTGACAATTCTCAATAAAACAAGTTCTATGCAATTCAATTCCATAGAATTCATTTTCTTTCCACCTAAATTTCATTTTTGCAATCAAACGGACCCTAAGAGTCAAATGTTATACTGGCATCGGAGCGTTAATATAATTATATACTTACCACGGTACATTACCATATACAAGTTAACTTTTATCTCTATATAAAAGAAAATAGTATCAATAACCAAACATTAAGATCCTTTAATAGAAATATTCATAACAATATAGTATGATTAATGTCGAGAATAAATCGGTTAATAACAGAAATATTCACATTTTTTGTTTTAGCATCTCAATCATAAATGATGGAATCATCAAATATTTGACATTTCCAAACTCCGTGTGTAACTTACAAAAGGCTTGGAGAACAACGAGAAGATGTGTACGGACAAGATATCCATTAATGAGAAGGAAACTTATTCAATATAGGAGCTCTCGAAAATTTGACGACCTCAAATGTCTCGATATCAATGATGACTCATTATTTTGATGAAAAACAACTAGAAAATTTGGGCTAACCCTTGACCGGTTCATATGGTTCCTGATTGAACCAAGTAGTTGATTGAGGTACATATCGATTTTTATATGTTTTTATCATATAATCCGATTGATGTCCATTTTTCTAGCTAAAGTGTTGGCCCAGACTGATTTTCATATTATTATTTTTTCATAATTTTGATTGCACCATAAATTTAAAAAAAACGCTTTTAAATAATTTTGCACACAATATTAAGGGAAGTGTTCCCCCTACCAACATATTTGATGTACAATTTTGACAAATAATTTGAACCCTTAAATTTATACTAATCTAACGGTCTCTATTGATTATATTAAAACCCTTAAAAATTAATATCCTCAAATCCAAAAATATCATAATTACTTTTAAATGTTTACAATGTGACCATTAAGTGTGACTAGAAGTGTAAATGTGAGTCGAGTACTTGAGGCTCGTGGCTTCACAAGCTTTAATATAAAAAGAATAATGTCATATAATATCAAAGATGCTAGAATATCAATCTAGATGGTCACACTCAATAGGCCTAATTAAATAGATCATGTGGCTTTGCAATTTAATGTAATATAATTGATATATAGATTGGTAACTATGAATTCCATCTCTAGGAAATATTTCTTGCTTTCCCAGAATGCTAGTTTTTGATCCTCTACATGTATGATCATCCAACCAACCAACACAGCTATTTGCAGTATCTTTTATGGGGCAGCCTCGAACCTA